GCATGTTTTTTGGTAACTGTTACTTGAAATAGAGTGGTTCTCAAGTTAATAAATTTCAGCTAGTGGTTGCAATATGTGAAGTTTTTGCTTATTTTTGTCGCTTACCCATCCCCCCTTTTTTAACTTTTATGACTCCCAGTGGCCCTACATGATAATCAGCATTGTGGGACATCAAAGTCTTTTATATAGAACACCAGTTGGACATAGAATTCTACAGAACTCTTCCCTGTACTTTGTAGCTGGATTGAGGGTCTGGTACCACAAATGTAGGCTGTATCAGCAAACGAGGGGTTACTAGAAGGATGAGGAGGGAGAAGACCCTCTACTGCACTCTCACCAACTTCAGGAATTTCAACTCTTCAAAAAAGCATTTACATAGTGACATCTAAGCCTTCAAGGCATCCATATGTACTTCATTTGTGTTCCAAATAGATTCATGTGTTAACTAGTAGTCTATAAATGTCAACCATTAGATTAATTAATAAATCAGTGGTTATCAAATGCCTGTTCATTAGTAAGATTTAAGTGTTACGTACAACTTCCTTTTTTAAAGCTAATGATTGAAGCTTTCTTGTTCGTCCCCCAAATAAACATAATACGTTATGATACAAATGATATAAGATTTTTTTTACTTGATTTAATATCACTCATATTTCTTAAGTACTTAATAGCATTTATGGTCAAATATGATTCAGTCATTTGCATTAAAGTAGGTTATTCACAAGTAAAATATCTTTAGGACTATAAGTTTGTTGATTCAGGAAAATTTTGAGCAGTAATATATTCCTATTATCAGGTATTAGAATAAAAATATTTAAATGGAAAATATTAGATTCCTTTGTGTTGTTAATGAATTTCTGGGAAGCATCAGTGTTAACATCAAAATGTATAAAATATGTTAATTTATCCTTTAATTAGTATTGATTTTATCAGGTAACTACTGTGTGTAGTCCTAGCTTCATAAAACTTTTATTTTTCAAGATTTATTTATTTATTTGAAAGGCAGAGTTACAGAGAAGTAGAGGCAGCGAGAGAGATCTGCATCCACTGGTTCACTCCCCAAATGGCTACAACGGCCAGAGGCAGGAGCCGGGGGCTGCTTCTGGGTCTCCTACGTGGGTGCAGGGACCCAAGCGCTTGGGCCATAGCAGAGAGATGGATTGGAAGTGGAGCAGCCAGGACTCAAACCAGCGCCTATATGGGGTGCTGGCACTGCAGGCTGGGGCTTTACCCTCTATGCCACAGTGCTGGCCCCTATAAAAATTTTTAAAATTTTATTTACGTTATACAAGTGTCATGCGTTTCATGTATACAGATTTAGGAAGATAGTGATGCTTCCAGCCCTACGCTCTCTGCCATCCCCACTCCTATCCTTCTTTCTCCTCGTTCTCCTATTCCCACTCTTGATCTATTTTGTTTACTTTATACTCATAAGATTAACCCTACACTAAATAAAGAGTTCAGCAAATAATATGAAGAAAAAAAAGAAAATTAGCTTCATAAAATTATTAAACAGAATTTCTGTGATAAATGGAGGCTAGAGTCATAAGATGGTTCATAACCCCATTTTAATCTGAAATCAAATAGCTGATGGTAGTTTAAATAAAAAATTTGAAATAAGTGAATCTTGTTATCATGTTGTGCCTTTAAAAACCATCTTAGGAATATGAATTGCCATCTCCCTGGAGGTTCCATGTTAACCTGATGCTCTGGAGTTTAAACCTAGGTCCTGTACTTCTGTCTGCCTCCCCACTCCCAGCCCCTATATGGGTTGTTTGCCTCTTCAGACTCATCTTTTTCAAGGCATGGGTTCAGGTCTTTTTCATTAGAGCATTTTGGCAGGGCCAAATCAGTGCCTTCAGAATCTTCTCTTATGGAAACACCTTTTACAGCGTCTCTCTTTAACCTTGACTGATGCTTATTGTCAGTAAAATGCAATAATTGTGTTATTACCCCAATTTATGGGAAAAGATCTTAAAGGTTTTTTTGAATATAATGTTTTTTGTTTCTAATATACATAGATATTCAATGCATACTAAATTAGGTATGTATTTACCCAAGTTTAATATATCACTATTACCGTAATGAAAGAACATAGACGACAGGAAGAGAGGAACAAAAGCAATGTTATATTGTTTATAACACCTGTCACGATGACTTTTTTGAATAGAAAGGAATTTCTCACCTTGATCATCCCTGTCCCTTGTAGGTTATCTGACATAGCAGGTACTCAGTAATTACTTGTTAAATAGAACTAAATATTTAAAAGCAATTATATTTGTTGTTTGACAGTCTTTATGGTTCCAGGCCTACCTGGTCATGTAATTTTAAAATTTTATTTATTGGAGTGCCTGGTGGTTCGGGAAGATAGCAAGAATGGCTGTCCATTGGCTCACTCCCCAGACGCGGGCAACAGCCATGGCTGGGACAGGCTGGAGCTGGCAGCCAGACAGAACTCGATCTGGGACCCCAGTGTGGGTGGCAGGTAGGCAGCTACTTGAACCATGGCCTGACCTGAACCCACAGGCACTCCAGTGTGGGATGCGGGCCTTTGGCTAATATATAAAGCCTGAGTTGACGTCTCTTCTCTGAGCTTTGGAGCCCCGTGCAGCTCCAGCAGTTACTCTGCATATCGTGAATTCTATCAGGAAAGACGGCCCGGTGCTGGACACCGAGAGAAGAGAGCCCCGTGAGACTTGCCTGAATCATCACCTAGTGCAGTGTGTCCAGTGGCTGCGTCTTCATTGGACACGTCACAGGTGTTTTTGTCTTACATCACACTGGGTGGTACATGTAAACCTGAGATGTGTCTGTAAAAGATGGTCAGCAGAAATCAGTCTATGGTCTTGTAATTGCAAGTGTAGACTGATGCCCTTTAAAATGGCTGAGCCACAGAATAATGTCTCCAACTGCCGTCTGCAGTAAGTGACGGAATTAAATAAAAATGTAGCTGGGACGATGAAGGGTATTCATCCTGGCCATGAACACATCATTTCAATATCTGATACCAGACCTGTGAAGTCATGGCTGTCAATACCTGTCTGTTCCTGAAGAAGTCTTGTGAATAGTTCACCATTCTACCTTGTGAATAAAACATGTAAATGGTAGGGAAGTCCTTATTCTCCTAAAGTTAATTTCATAAGATTTTCAATTATCAGGTTTTTTTAAAGTACTTAGTGAGATAGTTTGTTCATATTTATAATGATTCTCTGCATTTTAATAAGCGTCTCACTTTCTTGAGCTCCTCCAACATGTCTTTTATCTCTATTTGTCATCTAATCATATGACCCCTAGTTAGTTCATGTTTCAGTCTTTTCTTTGTATACCTTGTACCCCATTATTTCTGAACAGATTATATGTCAATATTGTTAAATACCATGTATTTAAAGTAGGAAGGAGTGTAATCTATTCATGGAGTGAGGTCTGAATGATTATGGGATATAAATACACTTTGCCCATTTGGAGCTTTGAAGTATCAAAACCCATCCATCATTGCCCCAAACCTGAATCATCTGTGAGGCTTCTTCCCACCTCTGGAGTTGGACATTGTGGCACACTAGATTAAACTGTGGCATTGATGCCTGCATCCCATGTCTTAGAGCTGGTTTGAGTCCCAGCTGCTTTGCTTCAGGTCTGGCTTCCTGCTAATATGCCCCCTGGAGGTAGCAGATGATAGCCCAGAGTGCTTGTTACCATTTGGAGATCCAGATGGATTTCCCAGCTCCTGGCTTTGGCTTGACTCAATACAGCCCTGGTTGTTGTAGTGAACCAATGGAATGCAAGATCTCGATCTCTCTCTCTCTCTCTCTCTCTCTCTCTCTCTCTCCCCCCCCCCTCCTTCTCTCTCCCTCTCTCTCCCTATCCCTCTCCCCCTCCCCCCCATCTCTATCTCTACCTCTCTCCCCACCTCTTTTTCTCTGCCTTTCAAGCAGTTGAAAATAAATTTTAAAATAAATTATGCAATAGCATTGCGTTTTTAGAGGAGGAAAGAGGCTAGAGGTCTACAGGGGTGGTGAACATTTACCAGCTAAGTAGGATCAGTATGCAGGCAGGAAAGAGAAATATTGCAGAGATTTCATGGTTCCAGTGAGCATAAAGTTTGAAATATTGCATGTAATGGTATAGCATTATAGAGAACTATAGTGTCCTTTTTAAATGCAAGTCATTGGCAATAAGAGGAAGAGGATCACAAGGGCTGTGTATTCATAGAGCCTCGCAGAGTAGCACATAGTGAGAAAAAAGGGATTCAGTACACAGTTGTTGAATGAGCGAATGTGTGAATGTTTTCTTTTAGGATGTCTTTTCTCTGATAAAGGAGGGGTGGTAGAAGCATTTGAGGGATGCTCAGTGTTTATTTTAATGGAGGCTATTTTTACTTAAACCTGAGCGACAAATAAAATGATATCTATATCTCTGTATGGATAGGTAGATGTTGTCCATAACTTTCTCAGTTTTAACTTCTTTTATGGCATTCCTTTGTCTGTTTTCTCCATGGAGCCCACCACAGTTGCTTTCAACAGTACATATCATTGATTCTAAAATATTCTGTTCTTGTTGTTGTTTTACTTTCTAACATCATTTGGACATAAAAGAACCTCACATCTCTCTTTTTTGTTTCACTATTTACATTGTTTCTTGCGACAGAGTTGCATTTATGATTATTAACAATAGTGTTAAACTAATTTGCTCGTTAATATATAATTTGAAAATTGAAGCTTACTAATTAAATGCTCAATCAAGTTCAAAGTATTCACGAAACTCACCTATTTAATCATTGAATTTAGTGTTACTTAAGGTTTATTGTGTGCTGATAAATTTTAAAAATTTATTTTGTGAGTTTTGGTAAATAGGGCACTATTTACAATGTGTGACTTTGAAAAATAGAAGCTCATAATAACATTTTTGACTCAGTATATGAGATATAATGTTATAATTTTGAAATGTCTTCTTGGAGTTCTTGCTTCAAATTGTAATCTTAGTTTTTCCTGCTCCTTCCATAGCTTCCTGCAGATTTCACAAAACTGCACCTTACTGACAGTCTCCACCCACAGGTGACCCACGTTTCTTCTAGCCATTCAGGATGTAGTATCACTAGTGATTCTGGAAGCAGCAGTCTCTCTGATATCTACCAGGTAAGAAGCTATTTTCCTTGTCATCCATTTCATTTTCATTTATTTCAAGGAGTTTTATGGTTCTCAGTTGATAAACTCTGTATAGTAAGTATAAGTACACAGACACATAGACACACAGACACATAGTATGTTGTAGTTGATTTTAGGAAGTAGAACTACTATCTAACTAGCCTCTTCTATGACCAGTTAACAAGATTTTAAATAGAATGATTGCAGTGAAATAATTTCTCTTATTTTAAATATCTTGTTCACTTAACTGTGGGCATAGTAGTATTATAACTCCTTCTTGACGCTACTCAAGGAGAAAGCTGCAGAATTATACTTTTACAAATTTTCTCATTAAAGTTCATATTCAGTATGGCAAGAGAGAGGGATTAAGATTGGGTCATCAGATTGTATTTCTTGTGCTTTTAAAAAATTACCTGTAGGGGTAGGCGTTTGTGGCATAGTAGGTAAAGCCACCACCTGCTATGCCAGGCATCCCATATGGGCTCTGGTTCGAGACCCAGCTGTTCCACTTCCAGGAGTTGCATATGTGACAGCATAAGACAGCCCAAGTTCTTGGACCACTGCATTCATGTGGGAGATCTGGAAGAAGTTCCTGGCTCCTGGCTTTGGCTTGGCCCGGTCCCAGCTCTTGCAGCCATTTGGGTAGTGAGCCAGTGGATGGAAGATTCATTCTCTCTCTCTCTGTCTCTGTCTCTCTATCTCTTCATGTAACTCTGACTTTCAAATAAATAAATAAATGTGTGAAAAAAAATTACCTGTAGACTTAGCTATATAACTGAGGAAAATCTTTTTGATATTGATAGATAGGGGAAAATGCTGCAAGTATGAAATTTTAAAAATGTTTTTAAAATGGTAATTTTTTTGTTAAATGATACTTTATTGCCTTAGGATCTGCAAATTTAGGGAAAGTGACCAAAATAGACCAAAAGAGATCATTTTTGGGGGGCCTTCAAATACAAACTGTTAAGTTGGCTTTGAGATAGCTTCAAACAAAAAGAGCATACTCACTTTACAAAGTGTAATTCTTGGCTTCCTAAGAATTGTGACAAGAAGTGACTGCAAAAGTGCCGTTCTGTAGGAGCATTGTAGTTAATCAAGATTGTTGATGCATTTAGGCCACAGAAAGTTTCATTTTTTTTAATTTCTGAAAGTAAGTAAGCAATTAGAATACCAAAGTGTAAGATATACTGAAGTCCTAAATTTAATGGATCTTAGAAAATAAATTTTCTTTCGAAAAGATCATATATTAGGTGCATACTTTTCTATAATTTAATGATTTTTGAATTCCCTGATGAGTAACTTTATATTATAAATAGCTCCTAAAATATATTTTTAAAGATTTTATTTATTTATTAGAGAGGCAGAGTTACAGACAGAGCGAGGGAGAGACAGAGAAAGAGGTCTTTCATACCCTGGTTCACTTCCTAAATGGCTGCAATGGCCGGGGCTGAGCTGGTCTGAAGCCAGGGGCCAGGAGCTTCTTCCAGGTCTCACGTGCAGGTGCAGGGCCCAAGCACCTGGCCATCCTCCACTGCTTTCTTAGGCCATAGCTGGGAACTGGATCAGAAGAGGAGCAGCTGGGACACAAACCGGCGCCCATATTGAATGCTGGCACCGCAGGCAGAGGCTTAGCCTACCATGCCACAGCGCCAGCCCCGACTCCAAATATATTTTTCAAAAAATGTGTTGTTAGCCACAGATGCAATCATTTGCAAATTCTTAGCTGATTAAAGATTTCTTTATTATTTTTGCAGTAAGAAATTTAATGATCTGGCTCTTTAAGGTCATATTACAAATTTGTATGTTGACTTTGATCCATTAGGAGTTTAACTCAGTAGACATTGATGCCATTTTAAATGTTAAAGGGTCTCACATGGCAATGGGTCAGGGTACATTTACCTGCCCTGTACACGTACTCGCATACACACATACATACATGCACACGTGTGCATACACACACAAACACACACCTGTGCCTATTTCTGGAGGCTGATTTTTAAAAAACATTTCTTTAAGCGCTTATTTACACAAAGCAGTGAACAGTGTGAGTAAAAGCTGCGTTCTAGCTTATAGTAATCGTAACATTATGGCAGAAGTGTAGTCCTCTGAATTTTTTTTAAAAAGACTTATTTTATTTATTTGAAAGGCAGAGTTAGACAGGAGAGGTTCTGTATCCACTGGTTCACTTCCCAAATGGTTGTGATGTTCAGGGCTGGGCCAGGCCGGAGCCAGGAGCTCCCCTCCAGGTCTCCCACTTCGGTGCAGGGGCCCAAGCACCTGGGCTGTCCACTGCTGCCTTCACAGGAGCATTAGCAGGGAGCTGGCTCAGAAGCGGAGCAGCTGGGGTTCAAACCGGCCCCCATATGGGATGCCAGCACTGCAGGTGGTGGCTTTACCCACTATACCACAATGCCAGCCCATGTCCTCTAAATTTTGAAATAATGATTATACATTTTGAAGATCTATAGTGGGAATACAACTTGGAGTTACGGCAGTTATCACTGCTTCCTTCCATTAGGCACGCATAAATGAGTGCCCTGGAAGGCCAGCGTGTGCAATAAGCATGTGCTAACTCGTTCGTGTCATGGATGGAGGCGTTTCCTGGGGCTGGTTTTAGCTTTATGTGCTCTTCCCTGAGTAGCTGGATGAGGCATGAGGAAGTTCTTGGCGGTACTTCTTGTCATCAGACTCTGAGAAACCAGAGTGTGGGTGAGAGTTCCCACTTGCTCTGACAGAACTGGCCTGCCGTCTGACTTTATCTTTGGATATGGATGAAGAGGAGGATCTCCCAGCACAGTGTTTTGATTCATTTGATTGAATTTCAAGGCTCTTCATTTTTTTTTTTTTTTAAGATTTATTTTATTTATTTGAAAAAGTTACAGAGAGAGGTAGAGACAGAGAGAGAGGTCTTCCATCTGCTGGCTCACTTCCCAGATGGCCGCAACGGCCGGAGGTACTACGCCAATCCTAAGCCAAGAGCGAGAATCTTCCTCTGGGTCTTCCATGTGGGTACAGGGGCCCAAGGACCTGGGCCATCTTCCACTGCTTTCCCAGGCCACAGCAGAGAGCTGGATTGGAAGAGGAGCAGCCGGGACTAGAACTGGCGCCCATATGGGGTGCTGGCACTTCAAGCCAGGGCTTTAACCCGCTGCGCCACAGCGCTGGCCCCCAAGGCTCTTCATTTTAAACTTGATCACAGACATGTAGCCTATACATTCATATCCTCTGTCAAGAAAAGTCTACAGACTGGGGCCAGCACTGTGGTGCAGCATGTTATGGTGCCACCGGGGATGCCAGCATCTTATGTGGGTGCTGGTTCAGTTCCTGACTACTCCACTTCTGATCTAGCTCCTTGTTCACCCAGGAAAGTAGTGGAATACGGCCAAGAATGGGAGACCTGGACGGGGTTCCAGGCTTCTGGCTTTGGCCCAGCCCTGCCCTGCCTGTTGTAGCCATTTGGGGAATGAACTGGCAGATGAAAGATTTCTGTGACTCTCCCTCTATCTTTGAAACTCTGCCTTGTTTTGAATGAATCAATAATTCTTTAAAAGAAAAAATATAAAAATCCAAAGCTGTATCTAAAAATGTAATGATTGGCTATGCAGAATTTAACGTTCAATAGAAATCCTGTAAAGGCTAATCCTGTTTTCTCTGAATCAGTAATTCTCAAGCTGAGAAGTCTGATACATGTGCATGGATACTTTAAAAAGTTTGTGAAAAATAGAATTCCGAGAAAAGTTTCTTTTGTTATCAAGAACTTTAGAAATCCGTACATACAGATGAGGGCTCTTCGGCTGGTTGTGAAAAATGCATGTTATGGCAACTATGCGTGTATTTCAAAATGTGTTTTTGCATGAAAATGAACTTGAATACTTTTTTCTACAAGCTTTTAGGTGTACCTTCATCCCTTAACTTGTAATTTCATATTTAAATCACTTACTGCTTTCCACCAGCCAAGCATTCAGTCTTGTTTTGAACAGTTTTGGGGATGAGTAACCATCTTCCAGGGGAGCACATTTTATCTTTGTGCAATTCTGACTTAAATAGTCTTGTTTGTTTGTTTGTTTGTTTGTGGAAAGCATCATATTGAAGTGAGTATAAGTGTTCACGAGTTGAACACAAAGAGGTTGGAATTGAAGGCTGAGTACAAGAGAGAAACTGGTAGAATAATGTTACTGAGACGGTGGGAGGAGAGGAATTCCAGTGGAATGAGTAACCTTAGGAGAAGAACCCCCCCCCCCCCCCCTGTTGTAACAGGGTCACATCCTGATAGCTTCGACACGAGGAATTTGGAAGTTGAGTGGGTTCCGTCCTGTGGCCTCTGTTTTCTCTCTGAAGAGTGGAGTTCATCGGTGGAGAGTGAGAGGGTTGGTGGGTAGGGAGTTTTGAGAAGAGGGAAGTTTTTGAAATAAAGGTTGCAGAGAGTAGGGGAGCAAATTGGCCAGAAAACTGGAGGCTCGATTGCGTTGGTGCCCTCAATACGGAGTGATCTCCCTCTGCCCTGTTAAGTAATTTTCTCCACAGTAAGCACAAGGAAGCAAAGATTGGCTTCACTCAGGACTGAAGTTTTGCTAAATGGGTGTAGCACGCAGTCAGGTGAAGCTGGTGCTCTGCTTTCCAGTACGTTGTCTCCAGGCTGAGCTCCTGCCTGTGTTTTCAGGGTTGTCTCCTCGTAGCGTTCTTTCCTTATTTCCCTCTACAGAGGAGTCCTACGTATTGATTCCTTCCTTGGCTGGTCATTCTGTTTTCTTCCTGGATTGCAATGGAAATGATTATTGCTGTCTGTGTCGTCTGCCTGCCTTCCAGGATGACGGCTTCAGGCAGGCAGGGAACTTACCCGTCTTGTGCACGTCTTCTCTCCAGTGCACCGTGCAGTGCCAGGAAACTGTACACGTTCAGAAGGCATGTGTTCAGTGAATGGAATGGAGCTAGGCTAGGGAATATAAACTGATGGGGGAGAAGGAGAGCTGGACATGGTCGTAGAGTCGTTAGACTGCAGCTCCTGTTTGAGTGGAGAGAGGCTGGCCCTAGAAGCAAGTGGAAAGCAAGTGAAAGAACACTAGCTTGTGATAGAATGCAGAACGCTTATGTTAGTGACACGAGACAGTGCCACTTCCAGCCAGGAGAAGGTCTGATTAAGTGATGTGACTGTCACACAGTGGGTTGCTTAGGTGGGCTAGAAGTAGTTGAACAAAAATAAATCAGTCAAACAGTTCAAGCAAAATGGAATTCATGTAAGAATGTGACATGCGATAGCACCAACCTCACAACTCACTGAAGTGAGCCATGGGTTATTAAGCACAACAAGGCTCCAGAGGTTCCTGGAAAAACAGAATTATGTTCATATTGTTGAGGAAGATTTGAAGTTCGTGCACAGTTTGTTTCATAATACATATCTTATACAAACTTTTTGAAGACCTCTTGTTAATGAGTGGGGGAGTGAACTTTTTGAAGTGGGGGAATCACTTTATAGTCACTTTATATCATAAATAAAGTGAATTTCAGTTAAAGATTTAGCGAGCTTCTAATTTTGTAATGTTTCAAACATTTAATAATTAAAGGATCAACTGAGACAAAGATTTAAGTCAGAATGTCACTAATTTATACAAAGCAATAAGAAAAACACTCGACATAATATAGAAATAAATATTCAAAGGACAGGAATAGTTGGTTGATGGAAAGAAAAATACAAATGTCTGTACCTTAAATAAAGTATTTAAAACATGGGGGTAATTGAGTGCTCCATATGAGGACTTAAAAACGAGACTGGCTTGCCTATTAAATTAGCACAGATTTTCTTATTTAAATACTTATAGGCAGACATTTTTATACACTCCTGGTAAGATTGAAATTTTTGGAAAGCAACCTAACAATTTACATTAAGAGCTTTAAAATTTGTCCCTTGCCTTTAGTTATATATATATATAAATTCAAAATCTAAATTGAAGTGAAAATCTATGATAGCATGTAATTAGAAAAACATAAGCTATTCTGATATTCAAACTAAACTTAATGCAACCATTATGTTTATGTCTAAATATATTTTTATACTTTCCACATATATATGGTTTTATGTGGTGCTACTTACTCTCTTGTCTTTCTTACATTAACATCCATAAGAGCATTCAGTATAACTTTCTAGTCTAAATTTATATTGGGGTCTAAATTAACTGCTATTTGGTTTAATTATATAGGTTTGAAATTCTGCATAGAAATTATTTGCATCAAGAGTACTTACTAAACAGCCTCTGAAATGTAGAAGTATGTGTGGGATGTTTACTAAGCAAAACTTCATTTTTGGAAATAATTTTAAAGTGTTTAATGATTAAAAATCCTACAGTGTGTTATTTTTATTATGACATAGTACTTTCCTTTTTTTAAAGATTCTTTTATTTGAAAGGCAGCGTTACACAGAGGCAGAGACTTAGAGAGAGAGAGAGGGAGAGAGCGACGGAGGGAGGGGGGAGGGGGGTCTTCCATCCTCTCGCTCACTCCCTGAATTTCTGCAATGGCTGGAGCCAGGAGCTTCTTCTGGGTCTCCTACACGGGTTCAGGGACCCAAGGACTTGGACCATCTTCTACTGCTTTCCCAGGCCATAGCAGAGAGCTGGATTGGCAGTGGAGCAGCCGGGTCTTGAACTTCGCCCATATGGAATGATGGCAGTGCAGGTGGCGGCTTCACCCGCTGTGCTACAGTGCTGGTCCCAGTACTTTCGTTTTAAGAGCCTTTAAAGCATTTGCAGTTTCCTCAGGTTTGGTACAGCAGTTAAGACACCACTCAGGATACATATTCCGTATTGGAGTTCCCGGGATTAGTTCTCGGCCCTGATCCCCATCCGGGTTCCCGCCCGTGCACATCCTGGGAAGCAGCGTTGATGGCTCTAGTAGTTGGGTCCTTGCCTTTCGTGTGGGAAACCTAGATAGAGTTCCTTCTTGTAGTTCCAGCCTAGCCCAACCCTGGCTGTTGGGAACTTTTGGGAAATGAATCAGCAGATGGGAGAGTTCTCTGTGTCTATCTGTCTGCCTTTCAAATAAACTCAATCAATTAATTATTTTTAAAAAACTGTTCATTTTCTTGATTTCCTTATGCCCCCACCCCAAATACCAGATAAGCAGTTCATAAGAACTGTATTCACAACAGCAGAATGTAATTAATCCGCTTTTAAAATTTATTCATTTATTTTTTGCTTACTTGAAAGACAGAAACATAGATAGACACACACAGACAGACAGAAACAGATCTTACATTCTCTAGTTCTTTCTCCAAATGCATGTAACAGCTGGGCCTGGGTTAGGTCAGCCTAGAACTTAATCCAGGTCTCCTCTGTGGGTGGCTAGAACCCATGTACTTGAGCTAACACCAACTGCCTCCCAAGGTATGTACTAGCAGGTAGCTGGATTGGAAGTGGAGGTGGGACTCAAACCTAGGCAATCCAGTATGGGATGTGGCATCCCAAGTGGCACCTTAACCATGTGCCAGACAACTACCCCAGATAGTCCCTTTTTATTTAAGGAAGTCATAGAGCTTTCAATATCTACCCGAGAATATTAATTTTAAAAGCATATTACTATTTAAATATTACCAGGAAACTAAACCTGTATGAAGCTACACATGTATAAGGTAGATTAATTTAGTACAAGAATTACTTGCCTACTGAAATATATAAGGCTTTCTGCTACCTTCTGAGACAAATATAATTAGATGCCCTTTAAATATAAAATGTCAATGTTAGGGGCCTGCACTGTGGCATAGTGGGCCAAGCCCCCACCTGTGGTGCCAGAAAACATATGGGTGCCAATTCTACACCTGGCTGCTACTCTTGCAATCCAGCTCTTTGCTATGGCCTGGGAAAGCAGTAGAAATTGGCCCAAATCCTTGGACCCCTGCACCCACATGGGAGACCAACAGAAGATCCTGGCCTCTGGCTTTGGGTCAGCTCTGCTCTGACCCTTGTGGCCATTTGGGGAGAGAACCAACAGATGGAAGATCTCTTTTTCTATTTCTCTCTGTAGCTCTGTCTTTTAAATAAATAAATCATTAAAAACAATCAGCATATAATAGTTGTGTTCAAGGCTCGTTGCTGATAAGCAGAAAGGTAGAAGGCGCACAAGTAGTAAGGTGTAGAGTGTGTAAGGAAGGGATTTCTCCTGTGCTTGTATCTGGCTTTCTTTTCCCTTATTTTATACAAAAGAAGACTTGTAAGAGGCTAGAAGCTGTATTTGCAGTTTATAGATGGTAAAACTGGGGCTCGTGGAGATTAAGTCTCGCTACAATCCCATGATGCATGTAGCGGTACGATTTGCAGCCACTGAACTCTGTTTCTTTATTCTGTGAATATAAAGTTAGCAGACACTAGGTTGAGATTTTTCCTGGAAAGCAATTTATGTGATTAAACTTTTAACTCAGCATCCAAATGCCTTCCTCAGGAGACAGTGTTAGTAGTAGATTCCTGAAAATCTGTTGAATATCAAGTTCTTTTAAAACATATTATTCGGAGAATTCAATAGCGTTTTAAAACAAAATGGATATTGAGCCTAAATAAAACTAATCCTCCAAGTTACCGTTTTAATGAATTTTTTATGAAGATGTTATTTCTTAGAGAATGGAAAACATAGGGACAGCAAACTATGATCACTTCCAGAAATGAGGTTTCAGATTTGGTGACATGGATCCAGTGAACATTTGAAAATCTGTACTCTTTGGAAGACTTCAATATAATTCTTTTAAGTGATAATGATTTATTTTGGATGCTCTAAAAATATTTTTTTCATCTCTTAGTCTTTACTAGCTATTTTAAAATTAAAGAACCTTTAGTTAAAGAAATTATTGAAGAGAAATTTGTTTTCTGTCTTCAGTGCCACAGTGCCCGTCTGTACTCTGTGCACATGTTAAAAGATGTGCAAGGAGGTTGGCTTTGTGGCACAGTGGGTTAAGCCGTCGTTTGTGATGCCAGTATCCCAAATAGGTGCCAGTTCGTGTTCCAGATGCTGCGCTTCCACTCCAGCTCCCAGCTAGTATGCCTGGAAAAGCAGCAGAGGGTGGTTCACGTGCTTGGGCCCCTGCACCCACCGGGAGACCCAAATGGAGTTCCAGGCTTCTACCTGGCCAGCGGTTGCTTCCATTCGGGAAGTGAACCAGCAGATGGGAGTGTTCTCTCTGTCTTTGTCTCTGTAACTCTGCCTTTTGCAACAAATAAACCAATCTTTAAAAGAAAAATATGCATAAGATAAGTTGGAGCAGTTGGGTCTTAAACTGGCACGCATAGGAGATGCCAGCACCACAGGCAGTGGCTTTACCTGCTACACTACAGCACCAGCCCCTAGTGTGTATCTTAGTAGCTTGAAATTTAATTCGTGATACAATCAGTTATACTTGATTAAAGGAAGACAGAATGTGTCATCTTTAGGGATCTGGTCTCCCCAACTATTTGTTGATTTATAGTTTGAGTGTGGTCATTGGAATAATCTAAACAAGCGATAATATGTTTGTATATTTATCAAATCACCTTTGATTTGTGGTTCACTTTGTCATAAAGACTATCTAATGTGGAAAAGTGATTCTTGACGTTGGCAAATTCACACCTGTCTTCTGGAGAAGGAACTGCTCATAATTAATAAATTGTCACCTTTGAGCTTTCAGCTTAAGCCCTTCTCTTTGAAAAGTGGAATGAAAGCAAGTATCTTTTTCCTCTTTAATTCTGCTTCAAATGCCATGTGACAGCTCAGATAAGAAATCGTAATTACTGAAATAAAAAACATTAATCCTGACCTAACATTTAATAGGAGATAAAAATCACTCATATTCTGTTGAAGTAGTTCTTTTGTGCAGTACAATGTCTGATGCATAAATAGTTGTTGGATGAAAGTAAGCAGTAGAAAATTGATTTGCTTAGAATAGTTAAAAAAAATTTTTTTTCTGGTGTAAGGCCACCGAAAGTGAGGCTGGTGATATGGACCTGAGTGGGCTGCCAGAAACGGCGGTGGATTCCGAGGACGACGACGATGAGGAAGACATCGAGCGGGCGTCGGATCCTCTGATGAGCAGGGACATTGTTCGAGACTGCCTGGAGAAGGACCCGATCGACAGGACGGACGATGACATTGGTAAGTTCGAGTGACAGACGGCATCCGAGAGTGATGCAGAATACCAGGAGGGACCATTGTCTCATCCAGTAGAGTGAGACATGGAGGCTTTGAGAAGTCAGTAGTTTGTTAAATTCTCTGTGTATACAGCAGTGTTGAAAGTCTTTCTTTTGTGTGAATAGTAATGTTTGTTGAAAAAATCTTGACCCAGTCAGTACCTCCAAGAGGCATAAATAAGACTGAATAGGGCTGGTGCCGCGGCTCACTAGGCTAATCCTCCACCTGCGGTGCCGGCACCCCGGGTTCTAGTCCCGGTTGGGGCGTCGCATTCTGTCCCGGTTGCCCCTCTTCCAGTCCAGCTCTCTGCTGTGGCCTGGGAGTGCAGTGGAGGATGGCCCAAGTCCTTGGGCCCTGCACCCGCATGGGAGACCAGGAGGAAGCACCTGGCTCCTGCCTTCGGATCAGCGCAGTGCCCCGGCAGCGGCGGCCATTGGAGGGTGAACCAACGGCAAAGGAAGACCTTTCTTTCTGTCTCTCTCACTGTCCACTCTGCCTGTCCAAATAATAATAATAATAATAATAAAGACTGAATAGAATTTCCTAGTAAAAACCTTCCCACATGCTTCTTAGTTTATGACAAAAGGTGGGGGGGAGTTAGAAGTGATCTGTTTCTTCTATCAATTTCTTGTAAAGATTATTCTGTTAAGCTCATGGTTCTGTAGGTAAACATTAGTCAACTCAAGCCACAGCGGGTAAAATTCTTCCATACGTGAATCTGATTCTACCCTGGTTACATGTGAAGAGGAGACTAGTGGAGGAATTCAGCCAAGTGTCAGGGTAGCAGCATGGGGGCTACAGAGTTTAGCCTCTAGTTGTACCCTAAGCTTAAAAATTCAGCTGGCTTCACCCGCCTTTCCCTTGGAGAAGGGATGGCTTTGTGTTTGGGGATGGCTCCCAGACTCTGACTTCTTTGTTGGAATAAATACAGTGGTTGAGGTCAACCTCTCTGGAGAGTCATCTGCCCTGGCATATTTCTGAAATCCGTAATCACCCTTGCCTGGCGTTGCTTCCACCGCTGCCCCAGCTCTTGGGCCAGTATGTATTTCAGGAGAAATTCTATGCCCCACGTGTATGGGATCAGGGACAGGAGGGTGTGGGCGTGCGGTCGAGCGGCTTGCTGCCCGTGTTTGAGTAGACCGCCAAGTGAAGAGGAACTTCTAATATTTCAACTATCTGCGAGGAAATTAAAGGTAGAAAACCAGAGCCTTGCATTAGATATTCAAAACTGAGTTAAAATTGTTTTTAAGAATTGCAGACTATGTGAGATGTATGTCTTCAGCCAGTGTGGTTCTGCCGCTTCTGTGTACGGAGCGTTTCTGTGGCTCCTGGCATGTCGGTGGGGAACCAGAGAGATGAGGTCCTTGCGGTCTTTCTGTCTTTTAGGGGGGCTGTGTGTAAGCAGGTTGTGGCGAGTTCAGTGAGGACGGGTGAAGCGGGGCTGGGCCAGTGGACACAGGGGTGAGCACTGAACAGCGCTGTCCTCAGTGTTACTCCCTAAGGATTCAGGATTTTGCTTTCTTGGTCCGATACCGCATGTTTATGGGATTTCCAGCATCCAGAATTGGATTTCGCTCTCTCATTCTTTGTCCTTGCCAACTTCTTTTTAAAACTTCTTCATTGTAGCTTTAAAGAAAGATTTACATTGCAGTGTGTTCAGTTTAGCATCTTAATCCAGAATCCTTGCTCGGAGCTGTGTGTGTTCTTTCTTTTAGCAAGATGGAACACATTGATGTGGATGGAAGTCATCCTTTCGTACCTGTGGAATCTGTTCATTGCAGCGCAGTTGCGGAAGAACGTGCACGTTATTAAAATATGTAGCGTGTTTGTCATTCCTGGAAATTTAAGACTTTCACTTTATACGTGAGAAGCTTTCTCTCCCAGAATTTCTGGAAAGCAAGAGCTGTGCTTATTTCTGTGAATAAATATAAATACAAAGCTGTCTCTTTTAAGAAAAAAAATGAGCTTGTCTGTATAATCTCTACAGTAAATAACATTTGTTTCAATACAAAATCGCTTGGAAGCAGTGACAATTCAGATGGTTACTGCTATCAAATCTACATGTATGTGGAGTAATAAATCATTACCCTTAAAGAGAAGGACTGAAGAGTGTTGTTTGGTTTACACAAGATCTTGAAAAATGCTGTATTGTAACCTTCAAAATTTTTTATTATTTTTTTATTTATTTTTATTTTTTGACAGGCAGAGTGGACAGTGAGAGAGAGAGACAGAGAGAAAGGTCTTCCTTTGCCGTTGGTTCACCCTCCAATGGCCGCTGCGGCCAGTGTGCTGTGGCCGGCACACCGCGCTGATCCAATGGCAGGAGCCAGGTACTTCTCCTGGTCTCCCATGGGGTGCAGGGCCCAAGCACTTGGGCCATCCTCCAGTGCACTCCCTGGCCACAGCAGAGAGCTGGCCTGGAAGAGGGGCAACCGGGACAGAATCCGGCTCCCCGACCGGAACTAGAACCCGGTGTGCCGGCGCCGCAAGGCGGAGGATTAGCCTAGTGAGCCGCAGCGCCGGCGTAACCTTCAAAATTAAACAACACGAGAGAACTCGAGCTCGTTTGCTGTTACTCTGTCACTAAATCTCACTCATGCTCCAGTACTTTGTTAAAACGAGCCATCTTTTATATGAACTACAAACATCTATGTGATTGATGATTTCTTTAGACTCTTCTCTTCCTACTTAACCTTCTTCCACTCCTGCAAAACAGTCTGGGGTCGGGGGACGGAATGTGTGTGACTGCACATGTGCAGACATGAATGTTTAGGTCAAATTAAATGAAATCACTAATATTTGTTCTTTTTAAAAATATGATTATTTGAAGGGCAGAGAGAGACAGACAGAACTCTCATCAGCTGGTTCACTCTGCAAATGGTGTAATGGCTGGGGCTGGGTCATGAGGGTGGCAGGAATCCAATGGCTTGAGCTATCACTGCTGCCTCCCGGAGCCTGCAGTAGCAGGAAGCTGGAGTCAGGAGCGGGGACCTAAAGCCAGGCGCTGCAATGTGGGATGGAGGCGTCCTAACCACTAGGTGAGACACCTGCCTCTCAGATTTTCAACAACTGCAAGAAGGGAGCAAATTTCCTTTGGGTTCCCCGAGATTCTTGGCTGGTCCTTTGTTTCAGCACTTTGAAGAGAGGGACTTTATCATGTTCATTTTCACTCTAAAACTCCAAACTTTGTAAGTACTCAGTCACCAATTGCTTGTGAATATTTTGTTTTAAGGGCTTTAATATATTAAGGTAGAGAGAGCTACTTTTAACTCAAGGACTTCTTTTTCCTCCTGCCTCGTGTCCTACCAGAAAAACTCCAGAATGTTTTTTAAAAAATTTAATATTATGTATTTTTATATAAAATCTAATCAGACGAACCAAGATAAGCAATTTTCTGAATTGGCTTCGGCTTGTGGTGTCTATAAGCTGATTATTTGTTTTTAGTGTCACATTAACCAGAAAACGTTTTTAAGATTAATGTTTTTCATAAACTGGATTATTCCTTAACTAACAAAATAGGATATAGCACAACAGTATATCATCCTAGTACATTAGTGTATAATTCTAATATTTCTATCATGAAACAGAAAAGAAAGTAGCACTTCTTCTCCCATCTGTGACCGCTGCTTTGCATATGTCCTGGGAACTGAGGACCCGTCCTGACCTCTGAAGTCTTGTTCACCCTAATCCCTTCAACCTCATACCCAACCCGTGGCATCCACACTAGAGTTTATTTTGAGCTCCCTGTAATCAAATACTCTCTCTATATAAATGTGTGTGTGTGTGTATAATATGTCATATATGAAGACTGGTAATAAAGTTCTTTATTTTGTAAATTGTTTCGGTCCTCCAATGTAATAACTACTAGTATAGAAGTTACCACAAAGCTAATGATACTGTTGTCGAGTCTTGGAGAGTCTTATAAACGCTTAGGTGCTGTTTGGTTAAGCATGTGTGGAACTTCGGAGTTTTCCACTGAGCCTGGGGAATCGTGTAGGTTGACTATAACAAAACGTTATTCTTATTGAGGTAATTGTTTCATTTTGTTTAACATGCACTTTGGGAGGCAGAATAAATGTTTTTCCTTGTATCAGTTTAAAGAAGAACGTGCAAGGTCAAATTTCAAAAAAATTTGCTGCCTCCTGTATTTATCCTGTAGCAGGTGTAACATGGCTATTTTCTCTCCTGTTATATTTTCTTTCATGCTGGTCACTCCTCTTAAATCAGAAACTGACTTCGTGACCCACTTACAGAGCAGGAATGTGCACGGAGCAGGAAGCGTGTGTGAAGCACGTCATAGATCACGAGAGCGAGTATGCGTGAAGATGTTTCGTGTTTTCTGCCCACTTCGTCTTCTCTGCTCTCACGTTTGTCTTAAACTGTAAATCTCGGCTTGCCCAAGGAGAGGCAGCAGCTGCTGGAGACGGAAGAACAGCGCAGTGTGCGTTCTGTGATGAGGGCTGACGGGACAGGAAGCAGAGGCTGGCGGCCGCAGCTGACTCCAGCGTGCTGGTCTCAGACCGTGACTTCTCCAGGTGCCTTCACGTCTCAGATCCGAAGATCAGCGCATTCATAAATAGCAATTCCTGCCTTCCAGACGTGGGGCGAGGCGGGTCACCGCTTAGCGTTGTATTCAAACTGCTTCAGGGCTGTCCCCAGGAGGAAGTCCACTTTACAGCATGACACAAGTACACCTACCCATTCCAGAAATACAAATGGCACTCAAGAGAACGTAGCTGTTTTTGTGCTTTGATAGTTTTATCTTTTTGTTATTGAAAATGCTGTTGCAGCAGTGCCTCCCTGGGTGGGGTTGAAGAACACCTTCGTTTTGGACAGGATGCCTGTCAGAGCGACCCTTCGTGAGGAAGTCTCACCCAGCAGGACTGACATAGATCTGATCACAGCAGAACCGTACCCAGCTCCGCCAGAAAACCCCACTTGTCATTCCTTTTGGAAACGTCATGTTTTCACAGAATGTAACTCTATTGTTCTTTGTTTTCGCAGTTAACTATATCCAGTAACGTCAAATGTTTAAGTGAATCTTAACAGATAGAGGGATTATACACAGGGGCAGTTGATTATGTAGGAACAAAAAATGTAGAGTTTTTATTTAGCTGAGAGGTCGAATGCTATCATGCCTATAGTAACAAAAATGCCACAATAGCAGTACTATTTTATTGGGTATTGGTGCTAAAGCCTTTATCATCTTCATTGCGTTTGGTTCTCACAGCTGTTCAGTGAAGGTGACTATTATAGTAGTCTTTTACAAATGAGAAAACTATGCCTTAGGGAAGTTCATCAACTTGCCCAAAGTAATACAGCTATTATGTATTTAAGTGCCTGGCAATACACACTAAGCTGTTTATCACTATCTATAAAGTTCAGTAGAGCTTTGGAGGAGCGTAGTCCCAACTCATGTCACTAATTATATGAGTTGGAACCTCACTTTCCTCCCTGTGAAGTGAAAAACAATACAGGAGAGGCCCTTGCAGGCAATGTAAAGCTACCTCGTAGTAGTGAAACAGGATCGAAAAGTACAGAATGTGCGACTTAGAGACACCATGAATCGTCCTTGCCAACAGCCCAATCTATCCCCGAGTCAGCTGTTTGTTCGCAGCCTTGCCGAGAGAAGCAATGGCCAAACTTTTCTTTTTTTGCCAGTCTTTGGGATCAGTTGCCATGTGCATTTATCAGATCATGTTGTAAATTTTAATTGATTAATTTTGATGAGCCTGTTAGATCCATAACAGATATCCCTTGGGATATTTGTTAGTTAAAGACAGTTACTTCTGCTGATTGTTTTATTTTTCACTGGGATGGACTTACTGACTTGTTGGGTAATTCTCAGAGCTCCGTTTCATTTCAGCTCTCGATGTGAGCTTAGTAAGATCATAGCCCCTCTTCAACTGAAATGTCCTAAACATCAGTGCCAGTAAAATTTGAGTTATGGTGTAAACTGGTACTTCTGATCAACAAGGGGATGACACCATTTCTGGATAAAAGTTGTAGTTCTGACAGGAATATCTTTGCTTGCTTTTCAGAACAACTCCTGGAATTCATGCACCAGTTGCCTGCTTTTGCCAACATGACGATGTCGGTGAGACGAGAACTCTGTGCCGTGATGGTGTTCGCGGTGGTGGAAAGAGCAGGAACTATAGTGTTAAATGATGGTGAAGAGGTTAGTGAACGGCTCTACCACTTGAGTTTCTGTTTGAGGATCTTTTAGGACAGTCCTAGAACAGAAACTCAATTTTTTTTGTTTACTGTTTTTCTTTTTAAAAGCAGACATCATAAGTTTGAATAAATCAAGAATTTATTATATACTTTCTTATGTCACAGTATTCCAAACTCACAGTTTTATTTTCTATTATATGAGCATTACATAAAATATTGATAATGACTTTTTTTATGTATTAACTTTCCAGTTTTCACATCTTAAATGTTCCTGTAATGCCTTTTGTTAGAACAAAACGTTATTCTTATTGAGGTAATTGTTTCATTTTGTTCAACATGCACTTTGGGAGGCAGAATAAATGTTTTTCCTTGTATCAGTTTAAAGAAGAACGTGCAAGGTCAAATTGGAAGAATAATGTCTGAGCTAGGTGTTTGAAAATATGTGGACATGTGGCTTTTGTTCCTGTACTGTGAACTTGGTAGGCAGCTCACTTCATTTGAGTTCTTGGTTCCATGTTTACAATGGCGGATCAGTGAAGTCATTTAATCACTCTAGCACTTAGAACAGCATGACTACAATAGTGCTTTCTCATCGTCTTCATTTTTTTTTTTTTAACTAGCTGGACTCCTGGTCAGTGATTCTCAATGGTTCTGTGGAAGTGACTTATCCGGATGGCAAGGCAGAGATATTATGCATGGGAAATAGTTTTGGAGTCTCTCCGACCATGGACAAAGAGTACATGAAAGGGGTAATGAGGACAAAGGTGGATGACTGCCAGGTATTAAAAAATGTATATTTTGTTTTTAATAAAGAACACTTATATGCAGTTGTGGTGAGACTTCCCTACCTTTGTAAGTGTCATATTTTAGATTTGTAGATAGATTAACGTTAAACTATTATTTGTAATCTTATCACAGCCATGGACATTTTTAAAGAGATTTATTTTTATTAATTAATCAATTTTATTTACTTGAAAGAGACAGAGAAAGGTCTCCCACTCACTGGTTCACTCCCTAAATGCCTGCAACAACCAGGTCTGGACCAGACTGAAGGCAGGAACCTGGAACTTAGTCCACGTTCCCACCCACAAAGCTATCAGGAACCCAAGTACTCTAGCCATCACCCCCTGCCTCTCGGGACACACCTAGCAGGAAACTAGAATCAGAAGTGCAGCCAGGACTTAACCCAGGCACTGTGATATGGGATTTGAGCTTCTCAACAGCTGTGCCAAATGCCTACCCCCAAGAGTTCTATAAATCTCCATCACTAATAATTAATGACCTAGTCATCAAATATGTTAAAGTGAAATGCATCTTTTGAAATGAAACTTTAAGTAGATTAATAAAGATGTGGTACAAGTTGCAGTGTTTTTATTTAAATAAATGAGTTAATTTTAGAAGAGTCATGGAAATTAATCATAGTATGAAAAACTGGAAACTTACTGCTAAAAAATGCTTCTAAAATTACTTTTGCTAAGGAGAAATAATATCAGTGTTGATATTTAAAATAACTAATAGTAAGGCCGGTGCCACGGCTCACTAGGCTAATCCTCCTCCTTGTGGCACCGGCACACCGGGTTCTAGTCCCAGTCGGGGCGCCGGATTCTGTCCCGGTTGCTCCTCTTCCAGGCCAGCTCTCTGCTGTGGCCCGGGAATGCAGTGGAGGATGGCCCAAGTGCTTGGGCCCTGCACCCCATGGGAGACCAGGAGAAGTACCTGGCTCCTGCCATCGGATCAGCATGGCGCACCGGCCGTGGTGGCCATTGGAGGATGAACCAACGGCAAAAGGAAGACCTTTTTCTCTCTCTCTCTCACTGTCCACTCTGCCCGTCAAAAAAATAAAAAAAATAAAAAAACAAACTAATATTAGACTAAAGCAAATATGAAGTTAAAATATGACAGTTAATTTAACCAGGGGCCTCTATATTAGTAATAAACAAATTTAAGATGCTTTTGTTATTGTTTCTAATTTTTATTTTCATAGAAAATTTCTTTGAAAAATAAAATGTCTTCATGTAAATAAAACAAGATTTGACCTGATTAACTACTCATTGTTTTTATTAGTCTGAGTTGAAAAACTTATGCACAGACTTTATTCTAAAAGAACTAATTGCATTTTATAGCGTCAGATCAATGTAAACTGGCATCACTCAATTAAATTTACTGTTATAAATAAAATGTTACAGCATCAAAACAATTTTGCTAGATAAACCTTTGGTGAACACTCCTGAGAAGAAAAACCTGAATTCAGTGTTTTAAATATGTAATAACGAAAAACATCCTAACTGTGGTCATCTTTCAAATATTTAGTCTAAAGGAGGAAAACAAAATGATAGATGAATTCCAGAGTCTTTATTTGGCCTTGGAATGTGCACTTAAAAGGGGTCAGAAGCGCTACTTTGGCTCTAGAATTGTACTCCAAAAAAGAGTAAAACCAAATGAAGCCAAGTCAGATAGAGAAGTGCTAAAGGTTGTTCCGTCCCCTCCCTCTCCCTCTCTCCCTGTTTCTCTCTCCCCCTCTCCCTCTCTCCCCCTCTCCCTCTCTCCCTCTCTCTCTCTCTCCCTCTCTCTCTCTCCCTCTCTCTCTCTATCACTCTCTCTCTCTATCTCTCTCCCGGGTCGGGTTAAGTGCTCATCGCAGCGTTCGGTTTTTCGAAAGCTACATTAGCAACTAACGATTGGTAAGGAGCGAATAAAAAGTAACTCTTATCAGAGTATCATGGTATAACTATACTATTTGATATTTATCAAAGTTGTTGAAATAGAATTTTAAATG